TGACACACCGGTCCTCGAACATCAGAAAGTTAATGGTACAATTACCACGCGCGCTTGGAAAGGGAATATTATGATGAAAATTTCAGCATTCCAGCTTTTCTGGCGTGCGAGTTAACATTTTTTCCGTCAAAAAATCTCGCGGCGCCACATGTGAGGACCACGCACACATATCTAGGGACTGGATTTAAACTCTTTAAGTTGTATATGGGCTGGGAAAAAACCGAATACACATCACCGATGAAGCGCTGAGACTCTGGTCTGACCTCGGCCGTGCTAGCGAAACACGGCCTGCTTTGACTACGACGAGGATGCGAAGCAGTAAGGGTCGGATGGCAAGACGTAGCAAGATGAGCGCCCTCAATGGCTGTCGTTGTTCCATCGATGTCCCCGTCCCGCCGAACGAGGAAGAATAATACTGAACAAGACACCTCAATGCGATCTATATATTATAGGCTAAGGAGGGAAGGGAGGGAACGGGATCTATAGGCGGGAGATCACATACAATATGTACAAAATGCACAGATGAAACGAGCTAATATAAAACTGAAAATGAGTAGTATTAAAATAAGTGATTAATAAGATATGTGTGCAGTAAAAATGGAAAGTGTGATTTATCAGTAATAACTACACTGTAACCCCCTACATCACAAAATGCATTTGGAAAATATATACTTATGTACGAATAGTGAGATAATATAATGTGGGAAATGCCGGTTGACGTGCGGTTGTTCCTTACTCTGAAGGAAAAACAAAGGTGCAAACAATAACACACGATTCAGACGGCTTCTTCCTCGGTCCAAAATCTCGGTGGAGACAAAAATTGAAGAATGTTGGCATAGTTGGGCACAAAACTATACAGTGTTACACTGAGATGGAAAACGCCGGCTTCCCAGTCATCGTAACTCGCTTTCCCACTCGGCCGAACTGGGCCTTAGCAATTGTTCCTTCCCAATAACATGTACGCTCTTATTCCAATGGAATAATATCAATAGAAATGGAGAGAGAACAAGCATTGCAGGGGATGTCGGCGTCGAGACGATGTCGAAATCGCCTGTTGGGCAGGAAAAGATCCAGGCCTCGGTACAGTTCAATATTCCCATATGATTAAATTCTATTCCTATTCTTAATGCACTTCATGGTCATTGGGAAGGAGCAAAGTAGCAAGGCTCATCAGCTCATACAGAAAGCGAAAAATGCGATGCAGATCAAGCATTATTCATTGAAAAAGTAAAAAGGCGAGGATGAATGCCTGGGAGAACGACAACGCCAGTCACAGCAGTGACGAATGCGTTGAAGTTTGTGTGCGCCGTGATAAACCGATAAATGAAAACACTGATCCAGAAAAGGTCGAGATCCAGGCCTCCGAAAATCTAGCTCTTCCATAGTGCTTCCTTCTGTCCGGGAACAGAGCATGATCTGTCAGTGAACGCGATAAAACAATCACTGCCCTAATTTGTTTTAAGAGACTCTTCGCGAGATTGAGCGGCGTTCAGAATATTACTGAGGATGTAAAATCGGATGAGCAGGACATGATTTGCCGCCCTGATGGTAGCCAGTGGACAATATGCACTAGTGAGTGGTGCCCATGAGGAAGTAAACGACCACTCGGACGATCCCCAAAAGTGTGGCGCATATACGTAGGACAGGCGGAGCGTATTAACTGGAGGTGTGTAGCCTAGGATGGAAGGGCCTGGCATAACTGCACTCAACGTCTGGGAGCATCCTAGTAGTATCACTAACAGAGGATACTCCCACTGATAGTCCGGGTATTTTCGGTATTAATGAAGCTAGATGTGTAGTGCAGCAATGTCTGGTGAATGACCATGAATAATTTTTGCTTAGCAGAAACTGGAACCATCAACTAATACAACAGGTAATCGGGGACCAATTTTGTGGGGAAATAATTGGCCAACGCACCAGCTGCCCGTGCGAAGATGCGTTTTTCGCATAGTTCCTCACAGCTTCTGTCGCTAACGGTGCCGGTTTTCCGGCAAATGCTTCTAGCTAAACAGATTAAGATTGGCCGCCAGAACTGTTAGGAAACGCCCCCTTAAAATTCCAGCTTTCTAGCTTTTAAGGCTCTGAGTTAGCAACTTATCTGAAAAAAACTTGGCGGACGCTTATATGGTTACCACGCGTACCCGGAGTCTGGGTATGAGCTCAATGAGACTTAGGTGAACAGTTCTTTATTATATCTTAAAATTACAGTTCTTTATTTTTTCAAATTCTCCAGTTACCAGCTTACCCAAAAAAAAAACTTTGGCGGGCCCGTGCGTAGGTTCACGCACACTCGAGGGCTAAGTTTGAACACATTAAGACCCCCTTGAGATTTCAGCTTTCTAGCTTCTCAGCTCCCCGAGCTAGCAACTTACCTGAAAAAATTTCACGGGCTTCTACGTGAGTGCCACGCATACCCGGGAACTTGATTCGAGCTCACTAACACATGCTCGGATGGGGAACATCTCCTTAAAATTTCAGCTTTCCAGCTTCTCTGGTTTCTGAGTTAGCAGCTTGCCCCTAAAAAACTTTGGCGGGCTCGTACGTGGACACCATGCGGGTAAGAGCGTCCACTTCGGGGATGGGGGCCGTATATGCATGTAGATTAAGTCCTCAAAACTTGAACCTCGTAGCTTTTATAAGTCTCGAGATGAAAAATCGGTACAGATGAGAC